CAAGATGTTGTCCAGTCTCTGGAAAATGTTAACTAGGAGTTTTGATCTAATTCTCATTTATCCCACTTGCTACTGTTGGTTAATGGACAAATTTATGCAAACTCTCTTTCTGTGTTTCACTTTTAGCAAAACTAAATATTTAGCTTATTTTGTTTGCAACACATGCTTAAGAATTTATATCCTACTAAAGAAATCTGGATCATATAAAACTTTTCTCTTTTTTTAGAGTAAAATATTAATTATTTGAATTACATGGGCCTGTGCTGTGGCTTGGTGCATGCAGGCCTGTGAATGTGTGTGTGAGAGAGAGACAGACAGAGACTGACAGACTGTTGACTTGCATTTATCAAAGGCCAGCAAACTACAAAATAGTTGTGAAAAAATGTTCAGCCTCATTAGATATTGTATATTTCAGGCTAGTAACAGTTTAAAATAAGGAGTACATTCAATGAATGTAAGAGTATAGTGATGATAACTATATTACTAATTGCAATATAAAGAGGTAAAATATTTTTAGAAAGTAATTTTGTCATAGGTCTCAATAATTAATAATTAAGTCCATGACTTAATTATACAATCACTTGAAAGTTAAGTTTTCTCCATGTAAAAGAAAAAACAAGGGGGGCTGGCGAGATAGCTCAGCAGTCTAAGTGCCTGCTTGGCAAGTGCAGGGACTGCAGTTCGATCCCTAGTACCAGATGCCAGTCACCAGCACCAGATGCCGCACTGGCCCTGTGCCAGGCGTGCTGAGCCAGCCACCAAAATTGGCATGGTGGTGTACACCTGCAGTCCCAGCACTGGGAAGGCTGGAAATAAGAGGATCACTACAAGTCAGAGCTGCGTAGTGATACCTTGTACCAAATACATTAAAAAAAAAAAAAAAAAAAGAAAGAAACAAGGCATGAAAATGCAAAATATAAGTATTACCTATAACAAAAAGTTAGCTATAAGCTAGCTAACAGTCTGATCATAGAGAAATGGTTAAATTATAGTAAAACCAGGGGCTACGGAGATGGCTCAGTAGAATAAGCGCTTCCCTGGCAAGTGCAAGGGCCTGAGTTCAATCCCTGGTTCTGCAAAAAAAAAAAAAAAAGAAAGATGTTAAAACCAATACAATAATGTTTCCAACCATCAAAAACAATGATTATGAGATTAAAAAATGATCAAGATATTTTATGTGTATGTATTGGTTCCCCAGAGTCAATATCACTAGTATATATTAAAAAGATACACTAATAAAGGGAAAAAAATGATTGTAAACATTACCCACAAAGAAAATGTGATAACATTTTAAATGTAAAAAAGGCCAGTTATGTGGATAGGGACATGAAGAAGCTTGCAAAAATGAAAATCATTGCCTGGAGTGATCTTTAAAAGCATTCCAGCATTGTTATATTGTGGTTTTTGTACCCAAACCAGAAAACACTAGCAGGGCTGGCTCGCTTGGGAAAGCAGGATATCAGTGGCGAGGCAGAGATTCCTGCTCCTACAGATGTTCTGTGCTGCTTGTCAGCGGGGTGTGGTGAAGGCTAGGAAGGCCTTGCTAGATAGTTCTGTCGCATTAGGTTGGAAGTGAGTGGGCTAGCAAGAGATGTCTGGCCTCCAGGGCAAACATTTCCTGTGTTGTCCCAAGAGACAGGGGCAAGGAGGGTCATGTCAAGGCCCTGTCTCAGGGTTCTCTGGAGGAAGTGGGGTGAAGCATGGTGTGGGAACTCAAGATAAAGTGCAATTTCAAGGGCTGGGTCTGGAGAGCAGTGAGAGAGGGCTTGCCTCACAAGTGTGTGGCCTGAGCGCCTCCCCCACCAACGGGAAAAAAAGCAGTTTAAGGTAAACGACTTTTGTACTCAGAAACTGGTTAAAAGTAGTGTTTTGAGAGTTAGGAGGATATTTTTAAGGACCAGATTTTTCCCTAGGTCTGATAGGGGAATTTTTAGGTGACTGTAGAGTTGTCAGTGAGTATCTGTAGGGATTGGTTGCAGGTCACACTCAGATATCAAAATCCTCTGGTATTCCAGTCCTTTCTATAAATGGTATAGTATTTGCATTAACTTAGGTATGGTCTCCCTTTTGTCATCTCTAGATTACCTGTAATACTGCCTCCAGGGTAGGTCCTATGTAAATCATACTGGCTCTCTTAGGGAATAATAAGGAGAACAGTTCATATATGTGGGCAAAAACACAGTTGTCTTAGAAAGTATTTTCTGTTTCTGGTTGGTTTGATCCATAGATGCTGAGGTCTGCATGTGTGTGTATGCCAAATTCTTTGCCACTTTGGTACTACTTGCTAGCACCTTTTTACTCCCCGCTTGCTACTGCAGGCTGAGGGGTGGTAGCAGAGGTAATTTTCCCAGAGAAAAATCCAGGGAAGATGTGGAAGATAATGATGTGGTTGAAGACACAAAGAGAGAGAGTTGGGGACCTTGGGAGGACAGGCTCTGTGTACCAAGGCTTAGCCGCTGTTGTGACAAAGGAGACCAAAAGAAACTGTCTGCGGATTTGGGCCTAGGGCTGCAGGTCTGTGTTCCATGTGCTGTGTGAGTGCATCTTTTTTGTGTGGGTCAGCAGCTGTGATGCTTGGTTCTCCTACAGCTGACTCCCACTGCAGCTTGCCACTCTGGATGAGCTCTGTGACGTGGAGTCCCCCTTCCCCCAAGCTTGGGCTGAGTCACAGTCAGGACATACTAGAGCCAGAAGTTTATTTCTTATCTTTCCTTTTGGCCCACGAGGGGCTTTTCCTCTCCACAGATGGGTGCAAATTGAGGGAATTCCCCTTAACAGAAATAGACTTTCAGAGACTTTTGGAAAGAATGTCTTCTTGGGCTGGCGAGATAGCTCAGTGGACCAAAGAGCCTGCTTAGACAAGCTTAGGCAAGTGCAAGAACTGCAGTTCAATCCCCGGCACCACATGCTGTGCCAGCCCTGCCCCCAGGACAGACTGAGCCCACCAGAGTGGCATCCACCTGTAATCCCAGTACTGGGGAGGCTGAAAGCAGAAGGATCACCATGAGTCCGAGCTGTGGAGTGAGACCCTGCAACAACCAAATACATAAAAATAAATTTAAAAAAAGAATGCCTTCTTAATGGCTCTGGCTTGGGAGAAAGAGGTGTTGATTAATTTTGCAGGCTGAAAAGCGGGCAGTTTCAAAGCCAGCATTAAGTTGGACTCTGTCCCTCTCCATAGAGTGCAGGGACGGTCATCTTTGCTTTCTCATTGCAGCCTATATGTATTCTCTTAAGAGTAGCAGTACCCAGGCAGCTTGAACAGTTTGAAGAACTTGCTTCTGCAACTGGGTTGGCATTGAGGGGATTTGCCTGGTGTGTGTGTGTGTGTGTGTGTGTGTGTGAGAGAGAGAGAGAGAGAGAGAGAGAGAGAGAGACTAACTGACTTTTCTCTTGAGGCAGCCTCTTAATACTGTATAGCCCTTAGAGAGGCGAAGAGAGCAGAACACCCCACCAATCACCCCTCTGGGGGTTTGCTTGCCCTCAGGGTATGTCTCTCTGCTCCAGAAGAGCTCCCTTGGTGCCTGGAAGATGAGGGCTCTCAGACCTCTGTGACCTGCTGGCTGACCTGTGTGAAATTGCAGGGGGTGGCCCAGGCCAGCACCTGACCAGCTACTTAGTTGTGGACCAAGGCCTTTGATAGGCCTGGTTCACTGCCTTTGCTCTTCTGGAGCACATGAGGCTCCATGACAGATGTCACCTTTCCTTAAGAGTCTGCATGTCTTGTGTACACCATAACGTTGAGGAGCCCCTGCCTGCTTCTGCCCTGAGCACGTAAGGTTGGGTGCCTGTACTTGTTGGAGCGTGTTCCTCTTCCAGAGCTCTGGCCTTTCCTTGGGCCCTTCCAAGAGGGCTGGGGAAAGTGTAAAGAGAAAATGGGTTTGAAGGTGTGGCCCACCCCATATCAGTGGAGAGTCTGCTTTGAAGTCATGTGCTCAGGTTGGAATTTCTGGTTCCCCTTCCCGCAGTGGCAAGGGATCCCTCCATAGCTACATGAATCTGCTCAGGCTGCCTTACAGAGCACCATGTCAGAAAGGCTTAACCAGTGAACTCTACCTTCTTACAGTTCTGAAGGCTGGAGAGCAGAGATCAAGATGGCCGCTGGCTGGTTTCTTCTTTGGGCCGTGAGGCAAGGATGGGTGCCAGGCCCTTTCCTTGGCTTGCAGGTGGCATCTTTTCTCTCTTAGGCCGCCAGTGTCCAGATTTCCTCCTAAAGTTATGTCCTCAAGAACTAGGACCTACCCAGTGACTTCTTGTTGCCTCTTTGAAGACATGATCTTCAGATACAGTCAGAGTGGAAGGTGCTGGGAGGTCCACTTCAGCATAAGAATCTTGAGGGGGCATAGTTTAGTCCCTACCAGCCAAGTGACGTTGGCACTGGCAGATCAGGGCTGAGAGAGGAGCCTGTCACTTTTAACCTTGAGCCTGCCTTCTCCAAACAAATTTCTGAAAGAGTTTTATCCACCTGGAGCTAAAATTTAAATTTAAATTTAAATTTAAATTTAAATTGGAGCTTAAATTTATTCTGAGAGAATTCATGTGTAAACTAAGTTGTGATCCACTTTACAAAGACTTGTGCAGAGTGGTGTGGTAACTACCACTGATGACATGTTTATGTTCGGCTCACACTTGGAAGTCACAATCTTAGGAGAGGTAGGAGTTAGTATTTTTTCCTGTCATACAGATGCAGGAATTGAGGTGCAGAAAGATCAAACAATTTGGGTCACACAAGAATAAGTTTCCAGAAGGGAAGTTTGAACCCAGGCTTCTGAAGGAAGTCTAGGCTTCAGTAACATGCCTGAGGCTACACTTGGCCCTAGGAAGCTTCTGAGTCCCTGTTAATGGTTTTTGATTGAAGTGGACACGGTCTGACATTTGGTTCCCCAGGGATGGGAGCTGGGCTTTTCTCAGAGGTGAGCAAGGCCAGAAGTGAGGTTCTCAGAGGCCCTGGGTGGCCTGCTGCCTCCCCTTCTCACCAGCACTTCCTTCTTGCTGCGCAGGGTGATGTGAGCAGAGCCCAGGAATGCCTTATGTGGATCGGCAGAACCGCATCTGTGGGTTTCTGGACATCGAGGAGAATGAGCACAGCGGCAAGTTTCTGCGGAGGTACTTTATTCTGGACACTCAGGCCAATTGCCTGCTCTGGTACATGGACAACCCCCAGGTGAGAGGCCAAGTGGGACAGGTGTGGGCTGGGAGGAGCGCTCCTGGGATCAACCTCCAGGGCTTTGCAGTGAGGAGAGCAACAGACCTTCAGACCACACAGATACAGAGAGGCACAAGACAATGCTTGTGCATGCAGAGAAAACCGTCCCAAGGGCCGGAGGGTAGCTCAGTGGTAGACAGCGTACTCAAGGGTGTATCAGGCCTTGCCAACAAAACAAAACAGAAATAAAAAGAAAACTATCTCAGCTTCTAGCTGGGGTTGGGGGTGGTTTTTTGGCCTTAGATCTGGTGCTTTTCTCATGTGCAGGAATTTAACCCTTGCAAAAGCCAGGCAGGCTCTGGGTGCAAGGGTGACTTGTTCCTCCCTTCTGCCTGGGCTGTGTGTGGCCTGGTGGCTGCTCCTGCTCTTCCAGTCAAGGCCCCTCCCTAGCCAAGAATGTGACCTCATTCTCTGAGCTGGACGAATGTTGGACTTTTTTGGGCTCCTGAATCAGGAAGTCATAGAGTCCTGAGTTGGAGGTGACCTTGGAGCTCACTTAGTTTTGCTCCTTGACACTACAGAAGGGAAAATTGAGCCTCAGACATTACAATGGACTTAGGAAACGACAAGGTTAATGACTTTGTTAGGATTTCAAGGAGTCAGGCACAGAGATGGAGGCTACCTAAGCCCTTGGGGGATTCCTGGAATCATCACAGATCTGGGGAAGAAGTGCTCTTTGGGAGCTCATTTGTTTTGTTTCTGTTGTTTTTTTCAGGTATTGAGTACCAGGATCAGGGCCAAGTGGGGACGGAGGAAGGTGTATGGGCTGGGATTTAGTTCTGTTCTAAGGCTTGGGAAGAGGAAGGTCAGAATGGTGGGAGATAGATTTTTGCTTTAAGATGTGCAATGTAAAAAACAGTCCTGTGAATCCTGAGGTCATTATCCAGGGGCTAGTCCTTGGAGGCCTTTGGTATTTGTCTTCTGCATTTGAGGGCTGAGTACAAACATTACAGATGCAGAAAACGTACAGAAAGTCAGCTGCTGCAAATTCCCTTCTCCAGGAAGACAGCCCTCAGTACAGCTCTGCCCCCGCATTACCCCACTTCCCTGAGAAGCCAGCACTTTACTGTCATTTGAAACTCTGAATATCCAGACTGGATTCTGCACTGGACACTGTCCACCCTCTGCTTATGTCTCACTGTGGCTTGGTCTTGCTTTGTCTCAGACCCTGCTGCCTCAGTTTACCTGCTTTTGCTCTGTGCAGAAGCCCACCTCTGGCTCAGCAGACACATTGTACATGGAAAGAGAATTAAAGTTCTTCACCGCTGTTGAAGGGGCTGGGAATTAAGTCCTTGTTGCCAGTAGACATCACTTCTGGCTCACCAGGAGGAGTCTGAGGTGAGGGTCTCCTTTCTGTCTCCCCACCAAGGTCTCTTCTCCCACTCACCCATCATGTTAGCCCAGGAATTTGAATGTGCTTTTGTCTTCATTTACTTGATTTCCAGCATGCTTCCCCACTAAAATATACCCAGAATCCACATTTGCTTGCTTAAGGAAGGTAGCTGCCTCTCCAGAGAATTGAGTCTTTTTAAAAACGCTGTGCTACAGAGTCTTGCTGTTACTGACTGGTTTCCTAGGACCACAGTGATGCTGTCTGGACCTCAGATGTTGCTAGTCGTTCGTTTCTCTCATTCTGTCCCATGTTTCATCATCACCTGGGGCCGGAACTTACTCTAACTTTGATGTTGGACCTCAGGCCACCTGCCTGGGTTCTGTGGGTCAGGCACTGCGGCAGCCTCCCTGACCTTGACCCCGTGATCTTGGGGTGCTCCTTGTGGGAAACCCTTTGGAGTTTGAGTCACTGGACGGAACTTATCACCAAGGGCGGGAATAGGACTGGAGGTGGGACAGTGGGCCTGGCCCAGTGGTAGGGCTTCTTCACATCTTTCCAGGAAGTTGTAGATTTCAGCTGGCTCGGCATATGCCCATAAAAGAAGTGACTTGCTGTGACACAGTGACAGTTTAGAACTTTTTACTTCTTTAGTTCTTAGAGTCTTTACTGTGCCCATGGTCAAGCAATACTCTACACTTGAGAATGGGTGCTTTGGTAAACTCTAAGGTGGTATTAGTGAACATTTATCTCTAGGTGCCAACCACAGCTCACTGTGTTTTCATGCTGATAGCAACTCCAACTGGTAGGTATTACCATCCTCATTCTAAAGGTGAAGTAGGTAAAAGCAGAGAGAGGAAGAAATTTGCCCACAGTTATGTAGTAAGAATATGCCAGATCTAGGATTCTCAGCCTGGCAGCCAGCTCCAGTTCCCTGGCTGTGCTTGCTGATAATGAGACAGTAATCTCCAGGTTTCTTGGAAAGGAGAAGGGCTTGAAGAGGCAGTCTCTGATGAAGGAGAAGCCAGAGGACTCTGGCTTGGAGGTTCTAGAGGGCAGAGAGCTCATCTGGTTTAGCTTTTGAGTCATGTAGCGTTCAGCACCGGATAAATTTTGCTTGCTGAATGGATGAATGAAGGAATGGAAGAATGAAGGAATGGGTGAATGAATAAACTAAAGGAGGACAGAGAAACAGACTCTCAGGAGCATGTGCTTAGGAGCTACAAATCGTTTGAATCAGCCCTACTGGGACTGGGGACAGGATTAAAACTGTATGGAAGGGCCGGTGAGATAGCTCAGTGGACTAAGCACCTGCTTAGGCAAGCTAAATGGCCGTGACTCATCCACATGGCTGACACTGACAAAGGATCTACAATCTGAGGTACAGGATCTCAGAATAAATCCTGAGGGGATTTCACTGACCTTATCAGATCCAAAAGCTACAACTCTTGTTACATAGGTCTGACTTTATCTTGGTCTTAACCATCCAGCAGAAAAGTATAAAAACGAAGTATAAGAAGTAAAGCCATGCTGTTATGTTGAGCTGTAGGGGACACAGGTCAACAATTTCTGACATTGCCAGTGAAATGGAAGACCCAATACTATTATGGACTACTAGACTCTTTTAGAATATTTTTCTGAGTTTACACACCTATAATATTCAAATAATGGAATTTAACAAAAAAAGGGGATACAGATGAATGTCCATTTTGTATCTGTGTATTCAAAGTGGTTAGGATAGATATATAGTTACATTCTCTTCATGAATAGAGGGATTTGTTCTAATAGTGTTTGTAAATAGGATATCATGTCTGCATCTTGTACAGAAAATAACCACTAGGAAAAGAGTATGCAATGTGTTAATTATTGAAACTGTCTTACCAATTTGATTTGAAACTGTCTCATTGCTATTTGTTTCTCAATAAAATTATGGAAGAAAAAAGGGACTGGGATTTGATCCCTGGCATCACATGCTGTGCCAGCCCCACGCCCAGTTGTGCTGAGCTTATGACCAAGACCAGGCCTGGTGGCACATTCCTGTAATCCCAGCACTGGGGAGGCTGAAAACAGGAGGATCACTATGAGTCCTAGGTGCATAGTGAGAACCTGTATTAAATACATTAAAAATCTATCTATCTATCTATTTATCTATCTATCTATCTATCTATCTATCTATCTATCTATCTATCTATCTATCTATGGAAGCCTGAAGATGGAAACACCCTGGGGATGTGGGTCCATCCCTGTGGAGAGAGGCACTGAGACTTGTCACTTGTTGAGTGACAAGTCTTTTAAAGGAAAGGAGACCCTTGCTGTGACACCTTAGTTATTTAATAGGCATTAATAAACAGTATTTCAAGACCTAGGTTTCTGATCTTTGCCTCCTGAAGTGTCTGGTAGTTGGTATGTGCTGGGCCTGTTTCTACTACTCCTGTCTCTATTGCTGTTTTCACTGGTGCAGCTGACATTTCCTGAGTGGTTAGCACATACCAGCAATTGTGTGAAATGCTTTGCATATATTATCTCATTAAATCCCCTCAATAACCCCTACTCTCAGGCAGTCCTCCTGGCTCAGAACCACCAGTCAGTAAATGCCAGCGCTCAGCTTGCGGGATTAGGACTTGGTATAGTCCTCCCCTTCTACTGCGCCAAAGGGAAGTGGTAGGGGATGGAGGCAGGCTCAGGAGGAAAGCTGTCAGGCCTGAGAGATGCCAGCAAGGCTGCAGACTGGGTTCTGTGACTCAGTTAATTTGTGTCTGAGGAAAGTTAGTTTCTCTCCTGGAGTGTGAACGCTCTAGAGAATCCTTCACAGGACTTCTCACCCTTTATTTCCTGAGGGTCTGAAAAGAAGGAGACCCCAGAGCTTAGCACCATTACCTAACACATATCTACTAAACTTGCTCTGTGTATCAAATACCAAGCAAAGCCACAGATGCCGAGGTCACAGCAGTCAGTGAGACAGAGCCCATGCTGCAGATGGAGAACTGGAAGATGAGCACACATGGGGCAGGGAGAGCATGTATATCTTTCTGTACATGGGTGACACTAGAGCCAGCTCTTAAAGGGTAGCTTAAATTAGAGTGATTCTTGCCACATAGTACATGTACAGTGCTATTTACAGGCTTCAAAGTGTTTTCATGTACAGGGTCTTACCTGATTATTGTCCCTACCCAGTCTTAAGCAAGGAGGAAGAGAAAGAGGGAGAACAGAGGTCATTAGGGCAGTAGAGGGTACTTAAGATTGGGCTCCCCAGAAGACCTTGTGAGGAATTAGGTCTGGGACAAGGGTCTGTGGTCAAGGTCTTTTTAAAGGAAATGCTTCTGCTGGGCTTGTCAGGAGGCCAGGAGTGTAGACCTGTGTCATCAGGGGAAGTTTAGCTGAGGCCTATAGGAGCTCTGGGATGAGTTAAGCCCAAGACAGTGGGGCTGCCATGTGCTGTCTGGGATGTGCACTGTGCAGTTTGGGAAGTGTGGGCAGCGTGCCTTCAGCAGCCCAAGGTGGTTCCCTGGGGCAGAGGAGAAGATAATGTGGGAAGAGGGGTAGGGACTGCCATGAACCATGCGGTGAGGAGGTATCATGCACAAACAGCGTGGACCTGGGACAGCCTTGGATGTCAAAAAGGATTTAG